GTGAGAACGTCCTTTTTTTTCTAAAGTTATTTTCAACAGGAACATTTTTATTTTAGATATCTTCTCTATTTTGCGATAAAAACCTCTTTTATTCATCTTCAACTTCCCAAAAAAGTTTTTAAAAATTCAAATTTTTTGAAATTTTGGGTTTGGCCTGCACTGAAGTTTTTTACTTATTTCATGCAATAAAAGGATTTTTTTATTGAATGATTTTAAGATTGACAAAGATTTGGCTAAATTTTTTTCCATATTTATTCTATGAATTCTTGAAATTCGCTATCCATCATTATTAAAATTTTATATGTTAAAGCGCTTTCTACAGTAATATTGTATTATTATAGAATTAAAATCTTTAGAATTATTAATACTGTCGCGAAAAGGCGAAAAAAGCTATAAATTTGAGCAAATAAACCGGATTCCCGCTCATCTTAAATTAAATATAAGCTCCCAAAAGATCAATTTTAGTCATTTTTGTGTTTTAATAGGGGAAACGATTGGGGCAGCGGTGGGTGAGTGATGGGCATTTAGTTTTTATATTTGATTTCTTTGACTGTATTATTTCGTTGTAGTAGGGCAATTACTTCGCTTTATTTTGTTGTATATATATATATATATATATTTACGTCTTTATTAATAAAGGTTTAATTACTCAAGTTTGAGGGTCGCAATGAGAAAAGTAAGAAGTAGAACGCTGACCGTAGAGTTTTTATGATAAAAAAAAAAGTCCCCGTGGTAAAAAGTTAAATCTATACAGAAAAAGGATAGTGAGACAGATTCCCAAAAGGAATTGTTGTAAAGGTAGATATAGAAGGAAGAATATTGAAAGGGAATCGCCGTACTCCCAACGAAAATTCCGTACTGCTATAAAAAAATTTCTCCCTTTTCTGTACAAGAACATTAAAATGGAATTGCATTTCGTTCTGAGTTCAAATGCTGAGAGCCATTGATATTAGTGACGCGGTGGCTTATTGGAAAGAAGATTGGTAATAATGAGGATGAGGATGGTTCGAATTCGAACCGGAGAGTGGTAAAGTGGTCCAGTAAATCATCATTCAATTCGTGGCTTTGGGGTTTATTCTGGCGAGCCAATTATACGTCTATTTTATAGCAAAATTTTTCTTGTTCGACAAGCCAGCGATTTAAGCCTAATCGAATCGAATCAGCCTAACGAATGGTCAAAGTCTTGGAAAAAGCAAATCAATGGCTTTGCGACTGTTCAGTAGAAAAACTTTATAATTTATCGAACTTATAAGAAAAAAATAAAATTCAGCAATTTTTTGCATTAATCTCAATGAAACAAGATTATCTTTATCACTTATTTATTTCACTGATAACGAAATGAGCTTGAAAATTTTGAGAAAAAAACTGTTTGAAGCAGTTTACTAGACATGATTATAAAATGATCATAATATATTATAGCAAATAACATATTACAATAGAAAATATTTTATTATAGCAGAAAGCACTTCAATCGAAAATCGAGGTTCAACACTTTTTTGAATGTTTTTATATATCCCTTTAAACTTGTTCAAATTTTGCCATACGACCCTAGTATTTCCACTTATGTCTATGAAGTGCCATAAAATCGCCTGAATCGCCTGAGCCTGAGGTTCCCTACTTTCAAATCTTTTCC